GGAATAAAAGACTTCTTTCTGGTTTTGCGTTAAGCCTGACCTCTATAGGTTGACCTCTCTGAAGTGATTCAAGTTCTCCACTATTATTTATTCATGGTCAACAATGACTACTGTAAACTTCAGCTTTCAATACTCTGCATTTTTTAATGACTTCTGCCTTGTTGGGTAATTGAGGGGGATTTTATCCATTCTGTCTGATAAACGCTTTTTGTGCAAATGGTGCTTCTATTGAGGGGAACCTTATTTGGAGCTTACTTAATGAGGGGATCTTCAAATATTTCTCTAAAGATAATGTGTAATTTAAGAACACGTGGACCACTGTATTCTTTTCTCAGAATCATTACATTATTTTTTCAGGTGACATGCATCTAGGAAATAATAAACATAGTCTTAATTGTACAAAAATTGAACCAGAGTTCACATCACCCTTAGGTACATAAGGTAAGTTATCTTTTTCTTTTTACTTAATACAGTAACAGAGGTAACAGCAAAAGATATGTGAGGCTGAGCAGAGACTGAACATAATTAAGTGCCATTAGACTAGTTTTCTGTCTAAAAGCTATTGTTGCTAATTTTCCAACTCATATCCATGCTGGATCATAAGAGAAATGCTGAACAAGGAAGGGGGGCTGTTCAAAAGATGAGAAGTTACAGAGGAGTCTACATACCAAACATACCAATGGGAGTGAATAAATTCTGCTTTACTTCCATGAAATGAGATGTATAGAAACTTCCATCAAAGTGGTCTGAAAGTTTAGGCTTTGCCAAAATTATTTAACAAAATCATAATATATAAAAAACCAACAATTTTATGCATATACTTTCAATACAGGACATAGGAACATAAAGCTGGTCAATATTTGTGGGTATTTCTATAGCAAGATATAAGGTTTTAAGAATACTCTAATCACCTTGAACAGATTGGAAGGAAAAAGAACTTGTAGCAAATTGGCAACTTGAGCTTAATTGCTGAGTTCCCCAGCGCCTTTCTTTCTCTAGTTTTCCAATACATTTCATATATTACCAAAATCCAGTACCAGCTTTTCTGATGTGTCTCTTTGCTGACTTAGCCAGCAGAGTGACAGCAATTATTCCTTCAATGCTTCTTATTGTTTTCTTCTTTTCCTCTAAAACCATTTTCTACTTAGAATCTATTTCCTGTTATATTATGTTCACTGTTTGTTTTAACTCATTCTGCTGATAGCCATATACCAGGCTTCTACAAAGAACACATTTAATAGTTTTGAACACTGTGTGGGACACAGCTACTCATTTTGGGTAAGTAAACAGTCATGAGTTTCATGCCATTATGAGCCATCCATTCATTATTATATTACATAATACCTAAATGCAAGACTACAATTGAATATGGCACATTACAACTGTGGTTAAAGAAAAGCAGGCATACCACACCTAATAAAATATTTTCCAATGATTGGAGGGAGCTCATGAATTTTCTAATAACATGGGACTTGTGGGAGGGTTGAACAATCTTGTTGGATGCCTTCTAAGACTCTGACAGAAACACAGAACATATCTTTTGAATGAACTGAGTACGTTAGTTAATCTGGGAGCAGAGGTTCTAGAATGTATAAATGGAATGTTTTTTACTTGCTGTGACTGTTGGATTTTTCTAGAAGGAAAGGACAGTTAATTATTCATTTAAATATTTGCTCCTGATGACTAGGCAGCCTGTTTTGGGGACAGTGTATGTGAATGTGTACACATGTATGTAGACATTTATGTGTAGTGAGAGATGAAAGGAATCAGTTCTTCATGACTGTTCCATTCCTATGAATTTGGGCCATGTTAAATTTCAGGTGCATTTAAAAATAATGTGTATTCTATAGTCTTAAAATATACATGCTAAGATTATGCTTAAATCTCCATTAACTGCAATGTCTACATTTTGTGCAACCTGGCATAAACATGGGGAAGCTCATTTGTTTCACTGGCAAAGTCAGCTCTGAGATTGGGCTCTATGGGTTTCCAGAGGAGATAATGACACTGGCTAATGCCACATAGTGTGAAACATGTATCACATGGGATCTGTGGGGGTAAAGAGGCACATACTACATTTCTATTACATAGAAAATAAGAGTTGTATAAAATGCATATTTTCAGATTTTGGATACAGTGGGACTCTTCTGAAATGTGATCTTGCCCTTATTGCTCTCAGTGTTCCAAGCTACTCCATGGTAATTGCAATACTGAGAAGGCAAGTCACTCTAACAGTGTGCACTAGACATGGGAACTGAGTTTTGCTCCAGACAGCTATGTGCTTTTGGAGGGCACTTCATTTATTTTACCCTTAATTTTCCCAGCTGTACCATGGGTAAATAATTTCTATTCTATTTCCAAGGACATAGTTGGAATTAATGGGAAAACATTAATAAAGTACTCAAAGCTCTGCAATAACAAATCAGCAATGAATACATGGAAGAATGGAGAACACTGGTTTACGTAGAAATACTGTTATAGCTAAACTCTTCATTCTAGTCCTGCAATAACACATATAAGAGCACTAAAGATTATGGGCCCAGCACGCCTCCGCTGCGCAACTCTGCTAAGAGCACTAAAGATTACATAGCACCTTTTAGCTGTGGGATCCTAATGAGTATCTTTGTTTTGCAAATGGGGAAGATTGGTACCAAAGATTGGGGAATGAGATCCCACAGAGGTTATTGGACGGGTCCCAAGGAAAAGCAGGCAAAGGAGTCAGATCAGGACATGATATTATATAGATATTCTATATATCAGTGGTTCTCAACCTTCCTAATGCCATGACCCTTTAATACAGTTCCTCATGTTGTGGTGACCCCCAACCATAAAATTATTTTCATTGCTACTTCATAACTGTAATTTTGCTACTGTTATGAATCATAATGTAAATATCTAATATGCTATATGTGTTTTCCGATGGTCGCAACTCACAGGTTGAGAACCGCTAGTCTATAAACTAGTGAGATCAAGGTGCTGAGCTAGAAACAAGGTTTCTTTATTTTGCTAAGCCCCCAGCTAAAACACTGATTTATTTGGCCTTTTGAAGACAGTGTAAATCTGTCAGCTTTGCATTATAGCTTTCCTGAGCTCTATGACCTGATTTATATGAGTGCTGATGCACTTCATGCATCAAAGTTCTTGATTTCTTTCTGACTTTGAATTATAGTTAGCAGCTATTCTGCCTAAACCCTTGGCAGAAGATGATAGATAGGAAAAGGAGAGTTGCTTTGAGGACCACTGGCTGTGGAATAATAGGTTTACATTTAGAAAAAAGTGCATTTTTATATGAACAGAAGACAAGTCTTGTCCATCATAAGACCATGGGGATGGCCAAATAAGCTTTCAAGAGAAACCTAAACAAGAGAGTGTCTTGGAAGGACAGAGGAAGGGGAAAACTCTTCCAATCTGAACATATGCAATTTCATTGTGAAACCCAGATTGCATAGACTGCTTCTTTGAGAAGCAGTCCCTGATAGATTTAGTCATGTCTAGTATTTTCTCAAATGGTATGCTTGCCACAATCCATTTAATTTATGATAAAAGTCTTATCCTGACCAAAATTACCCAGAGGATCAAAATAATCAGGTATTTTGTTCTTTAAGTAGCTGGATTGATCACTTTTTCAAGTCCACTGGAACCTGAAACACTGAATTATTTTTGGCAGGTAACTTTTTCTACTCAGTAAGGTTTTAGGGAAAATAATTTAGTAAACCTAACATCCCTCTAGGAACTCAACTCCTTGATATTGTAAGATGACCATAACACTCATTGATCTCTGTAAGAGTTGGGACTTCTATTATGAACAGCTGGGCACAAGAGCACAGCTTGAGAAATACTCTTAGGTATCCTATATAATAAAAGCCTAATATGCTAAGTGTCCAGTGACCGGTTGACTGTTCAACCAATCAAAGCATAATATGCTAATGATATGCTAAGGCCGCTCAACCACTAGCTATGATGTGCACTGATCACCAGGGGGCAGACACTCCAACTTGCAGGTTAGCTTGCTGCTGGGGTCCAGCAGATCAGGACTGGGCATAAGGGGCTGGACATGCCCTGGAGCCCTCCTGTGGTCCCTCCCTGGCCCTGATCATGCACCAGTGGAGTCCCTCAGCCTGGCCTGTGCCTTCTCGCAATCTGGGGCCCCTTGGGGGATGTTAGAGAGCCAGTTTCGTCCCAATCCCGCAAGTTACTCCCCTCTGGAGGGAGGGCGCCAGATGCAGGGCGGCGTGAGCCTCTCCCTATTGGGACTGATTGGATGTGAGCCCACAGCATGTGCAGTGGGGCCAGGATGAACAGGAGTGGCAGGTAGGAGCTGCAGATGGCGTTGGACTGGGGGTTTTGGCCCAATCCCTGCAGGCCATCCAAGGGACCCCACCCATGCGCGAATTTGTGCACTGGGCCTCTAGTTATTACTATAAAGAAGCAGCATTAGTGTCCATACTCATTGATTCAGGCACTAGGACTAAAAGAAAGAATGATTATAAATAAATTGGGAAATAGATGTAGACTGTATTAATGGCAGAATTACCATTGAAACAAAAACAGGAAAAAAAAAAAAGAGAAAAAAGGATTGTCATCTTACTATTAGGTAGATTATCACTATCTGTATACAACCTTGCGGTGAAAACACAGATCTTTAGTGCTAATCCTTATGCCAATTTCAACTGTGAAATTTTATCCTGATGAATATTATTGAAATTAAACTTGAAAATCATTATTAAAACCCTTAACAAAATCCGTAGTCTGTAATTTAGGCTTATAGTTTATTTTTATCATGACAATAACTCATAAAGGCTAAAATAAAGCTAGGTGGCAAAGAAAATAAAAGTCATTAAATAATTTTACCACAAGCTGGCATTGAAAGTCTGTAAAACACTATTATATTTAATAGAGTGGAAATCTGATCTGAACTTACTTTCAGGAATACCACATGTCTATGACAGAGATCAGGTTTTACATTTACATTGCTGTTCAATTCCCAATTTGATTATAGTCTGTTGAATCTTGAATTTTAGATACCTGATATAGGGGTGGTGTTCACAGCTCAGCATATATTTAAATTGCTATTTAGGAAAAAAAACATGATTGAATAAAAACTTCAGATTTTTAAAAACTTGATTTTCACAACACCACAGCAGAATTATGTGTAAATGTACTGCACATATGCATGCTTGTAAATGCACATGCATACAAATAGCAAATGTAGTCTTGTAGTCTGACTACTTTCAATACCACAAAGACCTTATAGATATGATTAATGGACTTTCCAGGGGGAGTTAAAGACTCTACGAAAATCTTTTTAATTCCACTTTATCTTACAAGAAGAATGAAAAGAGTCTTTGGAAAGATATATATGCAATTAGGCTTTCACAGATTAGGGAAGGGAAAAGGAAGAAAGATAGAGAGATCATATTTAATTAACTGCTACAGGATTGATGAAGTCAGTCAGTAAATTAAATTACTTGTAAAGTCCAGAAACACCTAGCTGCACAGTAAGTATTTGACAAAAATGCTTTTATACTGTGAAGCTTTCAATGCGCCATGGTGACTTATTTTGAAGATTCGAATGGTTCCCAATATTGACCTCTGTAAGCTTCATGGGAGATAGTGGGTCCTGGGAATAAAAAGAAGAAATCCACACATGAGATGAATAAAAATATATACAACGGTAACATCTATTGACAATAATGTGCAACTTTTAAAATCCTATCTAATAATAGAGAAACATGGTAATTAACCATAACTTCGCTACCCTTCCCATTGGCTAATCAGCAAGATATGCAAATTAACTGCCAGCCAAGATGGCGGCTGGCAGCCAGGCAGCTGAAGCGAACATGAGGCTTGCTTGCTCCAGTGATGGAGGAAGCCAAGGTTCCCAGCCTGCCGCAGCCCAGCTCTGAGCTCCGGATGCAACAATGTTGCAATTATAGAACCTAAACAAACCCCAGGTACCTGCTTTCAGCTGCCAGCGGGCTCAGAGCTTAGAGCTCCAGTGATGGCAACAGAGTTTCAATTATAGAATCTAAACAAACCCAGATACCTGCTTTCAGCCGGCAACGGCCTCAGAGTTGGAGCCGGCTCTCAGCTCCAGTGACAGCTATAGAAGGTAAATAAATCCCAGAATAAAAAAAAAGAAAAAAGGAGAGGCTGGGAGCTTCAGTCGCCCACCAGCCTGAAAACAGCCCTCAGCCCCTCACCCAGACTGGCCAGGCACCCCAGTGGGGACCCCCACCCTTAAGGGGGTGTGACCAGCTGCAAACAGCCATCATCCCCTCATCCAGGCTGGCCAGGTACCCAAGCGGGACCCCCACCCTGATCCAGACACCCTTCAGGGCAAACCAGCTGGCCCCCACCCATGCACCAGGCCTCTATCCTATATAGTAAAAGGGTAATATGCAAACTGACCTTAACAGCAGAAGGACTGGGAATGACTGATCACTATGACACACACTGACCACCAGAGGGCAGACGCTCAATGCAGAAGCTGCCCTCTGGTGGTCAGGGTGCTCTCACATGGGAGGAGCTCTGCTCAGCCACAAGCCAGGCTGATGGCTGCCAGTACAGTGGTGGTGGTGGGAGCCTCTCCTGCCTCCTCAGCAGCGCTAAGGATGTCCGACTGCAGTTTAGGCCTGCTCCCGCTGGCAAGTGGACATCCCCCGAGGGCTGCTGGGCTGCCAGAGGGATGTCTGATTGCCATCTTAGGCCCAATCCCCTGGGGAGAGGGCCTAAGCCAGCAGGTGGTCATCCCCTGAGGGGTCCCCAACTGCGAGAGGACACAGGCCAGGCAGAGGGACCTCCTCTCCCCCCCGAATGCACAAATTTTTGTGCACTGGGTCTCTAGTTATGTTTATAAAGAACATGGACCAGCATTAAAAGTATTAAGTAATAAACCAGAATGCAAAATTATATATGCAATATTATAATTATTTTACCCCAGAAATTGTATCTGGAACAAAAGTCTAAGGAAGTACACTAAATTGTTGCAAGCGTTGAATTCATAAGTAATTTATTTTTATTTTCTCTACTTTCTACGTGTATTTTTCACATTTTCTCCAGTAAATACATAGTAATTTCATAGTGCAAACCATTTTTTTAAAATTCAGATGGAAATAACATGAGCTTTGGAATTGGGCAATTCTGAATTTGAATTCTAGCTTTGCTACTTGTTATTTCTGTGACTCTGTTTAAACAATAACAATGGACTTTAGTTTCTTCATCTGTAATCCTATATAATAAAAGAGAAACATGCAAATTAGCCATCCCTCTGCTATGCTCAAGCCACGCCCACCAGCCACACCCACCAGCCAATCAGAGTGACTATGCAAATTAACCCAACAAAGATGGTGGTTAATTTGCATACACAGGTGTCAGGTGCCCCAGGAGGCGATGGCGGCTGCAGCCTTGAGCTCCCGGGACTTTTGCCAGCCAGGGAGCTGAGGCTGCCCGCACTAGCCACGCCGTGGGCTCCTGGGACCTTGCTGGTGGAGAGCGGGAGGTTTGGAGGGCTTAGCAGAGCAGGAGACCGCTGGACATAGAGCAGAGCAAGAGAGAGGGCAGCTTGGAGGGCACAGCTCCCTCTGTCACCCCAGCTTCCTTATCACAGCTGTGGAAACTGACAGCAGGGAGGAGGAAGTCCCACCCCCACAGGATCAGCCAGAATCAGACATTGGTCAGACAGCTCTCAGCGGCCTGATAGCCAGGACTCTCATTCACCTGCATCTCAGACCATGACAGTAGAGAGGTGGGACTATGTCTAAAGAACAACTGTTGATACAACATAGCTCTGCAGCTGAAAGATGCCAGCATTATCAACAGAAAGTGTCTGCAGAGCAGCGTGCATCTGATCTTGAAAGAAGGTGGCGCCTGCAACAGGATGTATCTGAACACCAGCTACTGGAAAAACATCACTCTAATGCTGAAAAACACTCGCGTTATCGACAGAAAATGTCTAAAGACCACCGTGCCTTTGAAGTTGAAAGAAGGCGGTGGCGACGACAGAATATGTCTAGAGAACAGTCATCAACAAGTACTACCAATACTGGTAGGAACTGCCTTCTCAGTGAAAATGGAGTACATGGCGATGCAATTCTCGAACATAGTTGTGGTGGAATGACTGTTTGATGTGAATTTTGCCTATCACTAAATTTCTCTGATGAAAAGCCATCCGATGGGAAATTTACTCGATGTTGTAGCAAAGGGAAAGTCTGTTCAAATGATATACATTTTCCAGATTACCCGGCATATTTAAAAAGATTAATGACAAATGAAGATTCTGACAGTAAAAATTTTATGGAAAATATTTGTTCCATAAATAGTTCTTTTGCTTTTGCTTCCATGGGTGCAAATATTGCATCGCCATCAGGATATGGGCCATACTGTTTTAGAATACACAGACAAGTTTATCACTGTACTGGAACTTTACATCCTTTGGATGATGTTTCTCAGAAGTTTGCTCAACTTATATTTTGGATACAGCCGAAGCTACAAGTAAAAGATTAGCAATGCCAGAAAACTAAGGTTGCTCAGAAAGACTCATGATCAACATCAACAACCTCATGCATGAAATAAGTGAATTAACAAAATCATATAAGATGTTACATGAGGCAGAATAGGAAGCCCAATCTGAAGCAGCAGCAAAAGGTATTGCTCCCACAGAAGTATCAATGGCGATTAAATACGAGCATAACAGTGACCCAGGTAGATATAATTCTCTCCGTGTAACCAAGGTTGCTGTCATATTCAGAAAAAAAGATGGAGAACCTCCTTTTGAAGGACTTGCTCATTCATTGTAAACCAGATCCCAATAATCCCAATGCCACTAAAATGAAACAAATTAATATCCTGTTTCCTACATTAGATGCAATGACATATCCTATTCTTTTTCCACATGGTGAAAAAGGCTGGGGAACAGATATTGCATTAAGACTCAGAGACAACAGTGTAATTGACAATAATACTAGACAAAATGTAAGGGCACGAGTCACACAAATGCAGTATTATGGATTTCATCTCTCTGTGCGGGACACATTCAATCCTATTGTAAATGCAGGAAAATTAACTCAACAGTTATCGTGGATTCATATTCAAAAATGGAGGCCAATCGGATAAATTTCATCAAAGCAAACCAATCTAAGTTGAGAGTTGAAAAATATAGTGGTTTGATGGATTATCGCAAATCTAGATCTGAAAATGACAGTGTGCCAATTGGTAAAATGATAATACTTCCATCATCTTCTGAGGGTAGTCCCAGAAATATGCGGCAGCGATATCAGGATGTTATGGCAATTGTAAAGAAGTATGGCAAGCCCGATTTATTCGTAACCATGACATGCAGCCCCAAATGGGCAGATATTGCAAACAATTTACAACACTGGCAAAAAGTTGAAAACAGACCTGACTTGGTAGCCAGAGTTTTTAATATTAAGCTGAATGCTCTTTTAAATGATATTTGTAAAGTCAATTTATTTGGCAAAGTAATAGCTAAAATTCATGTCATTGAATTTCAGAAATGCGGACTGCCTCACGCTCACATATTATTGATATTAGGTAGTGAGTCCAAATTAAGTTCCTCTAATTAATTCCCTTTCAATGTGCATGAATTTTGTGCACTGGGCTACTAGTATAAGAATAATAGGCATACCAAAAGAAGAAGAGAGGTAGAAAGGAATGAAGAGCCTATTCAAACAAATAGTTGATGAGAACTTCCCAAACCTATGGAAAGAACTAGATCCTTGAATCCAAAAAGCAAACAGAACACCTAATTATATCAGTCTTCTCCAAGGCACATTGTATTAAAATTGTCAAAAATTAATGACAAAGAATTCTCTAGACAGCCAGGGAAATGAAAAAAGTAACCTATCAAGGAAAAGCCCATTAGGTTATCATTGACTTCTCAGCAGAAATTCTATAAGCTAGAAGAGAGTGGAACCAAATATTCAAAGTACAGAAAGAGTAAAATTACTAGCCAAAAAAGATATATTTAGGAAAGTTATCCTTTAGATATGAAAGAGAAGTAAAGACCTTTGCAGACATACAGAAGCTGAGGCAATTTACCACCAGAAGACCTCTACTGCAGAAAATTATTAAGGGGTTATTCTACCAAAGAACAAAATATTAAAAAATCTACAAGTAATATCAGCCACAAACTCAGAGTAAATAGGGATAATTTATGAAAACAAAAACAAAAAGGGGGGGGGATAAAGTTTTTAATTTACAAAGGGGGATGGATATGAGATGCATTCAAAAGAAAAAGGACTACTATATACCAAATACCGTATATGAAACTTCCTTTTTCATAAACATGATGGTAAACACACGCACACACAAAAGCACACACAAAAAAAACCTGATGCACATAACTTAAATAAAAAGCAAACAGAGGAAAATAGTATGGAACCACCAAACAAAACTAACAGACAGAAACACAAAGGAAAACATGGAAACAACCAAAGTGTATGTCGGTAGATGATTGGATAAAGAAGATGTGGTACATATCTGCAATTGAATACTATTCAGCCATAAGAAAAGATGAAATATGCCATTTGCTATAACATGGATGGACCTTGAGAATATCATGGTAAGCAAAATAAGTCAATCAGAAAAATTTAAGAACCA